GAAGTAAGGATGGGGTGGTGGGGGGAGGGGAGGAGATCCTAATTTCTATTTCTGTGGGTAAAGAATAAACCTGCTGATATTACTAAAGGAAGAAAGAACAAAATAATTTCCATAACAAACTATCATTGACTGGTGTGGGGAATTCAGGCAATGGAAGTGTGAAAATAAGGGTTAAAACCAAACAAAATATAAATTGGAAAAAACAGAGGAGACACTAAAGTTCTTTTATATGACCATTGGAAAAGCCTTGAAGAATATTAAGTTTGAAGAAATGTACTAGGGCAACAAGATATCACTGGTAGATTATGCAACTAGACAATTATGAGCATATTTCACACCCTCAAATACAGAGTGCTTCAGAACCTCCAACAACCACTATATGTTTTAATTTCAACTGTGTTGGCCATGTGTGTTTAATTTATGAAAAGCTGCACTTTGACCCTCCCACCCAGAAATCAAAAGTAGAAGAAAATTAGAAGGAAATCCAGTTCCTTTGGAGCTGGTTTAAGAAAAAGAATGCAGAATATGGGCAGTTGCTTGAAACAGAAGTGAAGTTTGTTTCCGAGAGCACAGGAAGAGTACCAGGTCAACTATTGGAGGTGGATACTTTGCATCTTCCCAGGCAAGTCCTTTATCCTTTACTTCAAATGTAATTCCTAACCTTTTGCTTTGAAAATGGCAGGGAGATTTGAATGAGAGAAACAAAGGGAAGATTGAATGGCAGAGCAAGTTTGATAGCCTTCTTATAGTAATGTTGGAAAGTTCTTCCTAAGAAATTCAAAAGTGGTTCAGTTTTTGGAAGATAACTTTTATGAACTATTGATGGAAATCTCAAATGTAGCTCTCTCCCCTCCCACTCCCAAGAGCAAACTATACAGAATGCTATCTCCAGTTAGCAAGCATTGATATGCACTGGACCAGCATATAAATCTGGCTATTTTCCCCCCCATGAAATTACATGAAGATGTCACCTCAGTTGTGATAGTTATAACAACATGGGGGGGGAGGGAATGAAGTATTATAATTTCTATGTAGCAATGATGCAGCCTCTATTGATTCTTAAGTCTCAAAGATGTTCTTTCAAAAGGCAACTGGATTTTTTTTTGTTTTTCTTTGAAGACCTTTTGCTTTTCCAAGATGAGAAGTGAAACATCTTCAAGGAAAAACAAAGAAGTCCACTTGCCTTTTGAAAAAGTACCTTTGGGGCAACTATGACCTGAATGACTGAGAATTTCCATAGATACATTGATTCTTAAGCTTTCTCCATGAATAACATCATTCCTGTTTTCTTTAATGTTCCTTATTTGATTTGATATTTGTGCATATTCACTTGTGTCTATGTGGTAAACCAATCCTGTGTTCCTCAGTTAAGTTATTCAATATTTTCATTAATTACAAGCATCTCTTATTATCTCTAAGCCTAATTATCCTTGGTTTCACATATCTACTATAGATCTTAATATCCGCATTGAGTTTGGCTTTGAAAAATATGTTTTTCGACACAAAGATAAACCCATTAGGAGAATTTTTGCAGCACTTCTGATATATCTCTTTTGTCAATTAAAATGGGGATACTATTTCACATTTTATATGTGATTATGTGAAATCTTTAACAAATAAGTCCACTACTATAATCTGTAGCTTCAGGCTCAGCTGTAAAATTCATGGGCAAATCACTGTTTCCCAGAAAATCTTCCTCGGAAGTTTATTATTAGGTTATAAATTATAACACCTTGGCTGATCGTAATGATTTTCAAATGTACCTATTTTATTATCATTTCATCAAACATAATGGCTTTCCTAGTCCACCCAAACATTAAATAACAGGACAACATTTGGTCTTCTGCACATTTCAATATTCAACACAGATTTAAACCTGATCTGATAAGCATTTTGAGCTATCACTATTTTGTCTTTAGATATGTATTATACTCTCAAAATTTGTTAAAGGAACACTTTGTGGTGTACTTTTTATTTTATTTATAGCTTTGTCCGTCTACTCATGTGCTTTTATTAATCTAGGTCGTGATAGTCCATTTCTGTTTGGGTAAAGAAAATCCAGTTAATACATGTCAGTGTAACAGTAATTTTACAAATAAATCTTTAAGCTGCCATGAGTTTTTCATGGAATTGGTGATGATAGTATAATAATAATGAAAACTGTTCATAGAAGGCTCTTTGATTCAGAAGGATTCCTTGTGAATTATGAAAAAGAAAGGCAAACTTTTTCTCCTTTTTTCCCCGACAACTTCGCACTCTCCCTTCCAAGGTGTTCCTCAACCGTTAGAAGAGACCATACCGATACGCTTTTTGTCATCCTATCAATAAATTAACTGACTTTAGCATTAAGGTCATTTTAAAATGGTATTTCTACTTGCCAGAGCAGCTTTCTTTAATGTGTATGAACTCCCACTATATCAGAAAAATATAAGTGACTAAGTGCTATAATGAATTATAATGGAGTAGAGTGAGAGAAAAATATTAATTGCAATTTACTAGAGTAAAATGATGCCCTTTTGTAACTGAAAGAAATGCTGTTGAAGAGTTGCCACTGCAGTTCCTATCAATTTCTTTGCAGTGCTTCTGAATTCAGTTGTACGTTTGTAAATAAACAAGTTTTACAGAGAGGAATTGACCTGGTTGTGCATTTGCTCTTTCATACAACTGCCTTGGGGTGTTCGGAACTCTGCCTGGCAGAAATCTGGGATATTCAGCTTTGCTTTCAAGCTCCGTAACATTTAATTCCAGAAATAAAGAAATGCAATTCAGTGAGATGTCTTGTCTATTAAAATATTTCTAATGAGACATTGTTTCCGTATCAGCAACTTCATTGTTTTAGGAAGCAATTTTTCTTGTAGACCTGAAAAGTTGAAAATGTAAAAAGAGAAACAGCTAGATATGTTTGCCTGATTTGTTTCTCTTTCACAAAGTGCAAATGTCAGCACAATGTGGAGGAAAGTTAATTTCCCAGTTCAGAAATATAAGGAATCATCCAGGGGTTTGAACAAAAGGGTGTTAATGATTATTAAGTCTATATAATGTCTTATTAATTGTGTGTTTATTTTCAGGTTTTGCAAACAAAACAAAACTGCTCAATCATTCCCCATCATAAGTCTATTTTAATAACTTGCATTAAATCATGATTAGTACGTATAACCTCTATTAGTCATTTCAGACAGAACACTATTTTTTTTTCTTCTCCACATAGTTTGGTCCAGTCTGAATTCAGTTGTGTTGGATTTCAAATAAAGGAGACTTTAATCTTCAATTTGCCACCAATTTGTCCAGAGTTATTATTTCAGGTCAGGGTGAAATGTTCAAGAAATAGAGCAGGGGCTTTGTCGTTGCCAGTACCAGATTCAAGCTTGAGTTGGGCAAACTTTTTAAAATCTGATTTGAATCAGTTTTTTTAATTGCTAGAACTTTCTCCAATTTCCAGTTTATACTTAAAACTGACAACTGTCATAATGCTCACATTTCATTCTACGGCAAAATTTCCAAAAATGATGAGACTGGTGAAAAAGGAGAATAAAAGGAAAAGTAAAGTAAGCAAATATATTCCTGATGCCTGGAGTTATTTTTAAAAAACCACAAGCTTTGCTGTTTAAAAAAACATTAAAGAAAAACAAGAACTATAAATGCCGGTACTCCTTGCTTAACAACTGCTTGTTCAGTTGCAGCCACCACAGTATCTTTGTAGACACATGATCATGATTCAGATGCTTGGCAATTGGCTCACAATTATAATGTTGCATTGTTCTGTGATCACATTGCAATTTGGGACCTTTGCTCTCGGCTTCGGACAAGCAAAATCAGTAAGGAAGCTGGCAGGAGGTTGCAAATGGTGACCATGTGACAGCCAGTTTATTAACAATGTGGGATTCACTTAATGACAGCAACTGAAGTGCCAGAACTGCTGTTGCTCAACGATGTGATCATGTAACATTGTGCTTTATGACCATGTCACTTAGCAATGGAGATTCTAATCCCTATTGCCAACATTAACTGAGGTTTACTTGTATAATTGAAGCAGAAAAATATTTGGGATGGTTGGATTGTTAGGTAGCAATGGGGTATGGGGATGCTCAATGAGGATATGGAATGGCGGAAAAACTGAATGCATTCCTTGCATTGCAGAAGGTTCAGGACTCACAGTCCATTTCTGAGCAGAGTCAGAAGGTGATGAATTACTTAATCACCCACCTCTGTGCTATATAGCCAGACAATCATTTCATTTTCCCCCTTTTAAATCTTAAGCATGAGAAAAGCAGCATAGCTTATGGAAATGTGCTCTGTCTCTCTGTCTCTCTGTCTCTGTCTCTCTCTCTCTCTCACACACACACACACACAAACACACACACACACACACACACACTTCGTTAAGGGGAGGGGAAGATACTGGGTTCCCGTCCCTTTGGAAGGTGGCAACAGGAAGGGCCAGGATGTTCTGCCCAGCCGAAGGCAGGGCCAGGGTGTAAATCTCCAGAGGGCTTCTGAGAGAGGAGATTTAAAATCTCCAGCCTTCTGTCACATGGATTGTTTTCTTTATGTTCTTTGTTTCTTAGATTTTAAGAAACTTATATTTTTCCTGTTCGTGATATGGGCATTTAAATATATTTAAATAATTCTAAGTAAAAACAAACCTGAAAGTGTCCTTATCGTAGAATAAAAATAAGTTTCTAGGAAGATTTTGCACAATGTACTCCCTCTATTTTATATTTAATCATAGTTTCCTCAACTAATTCACAATTGATTTCATACAACAGACTGAAAATATAAAATAACTATACTACCTGGTTCACAGAAAGCATACCTTAGCAACACACATTTTAGCCTAACATTGTCTGCAAAACTCAATCTTAAAATAGTTGAATTAAAAGGGAAAAAACCCTGTCGTACAAACCCTGCATTGCTTACTATATACCTCTATCAACACAGATATTAAACACTTTATGGTTGATACTTCTGCTAACATTTTGACAGAACAAGTAATAGGAACATTTTAAGAAGTAATTGGGCATAAAAATCTGAAGCAGATTTGTACATAAAAGATTGCAGATTTAACACTAGTTGACCAAAGATGTTGATTTGGGGGTTTTACATTAAAAAGGCTCATTAATCCCTGCTTATATAATTGCAAGAAAGATGACTTTTACTGGAGGTCACTGTATTCATTATATAATTTCATCATAACTTCTCTTTTCTACAGTAGAAATGTGTTCTTTCTCTTCTTTTCTTTATTGCAAAACCTTGTTACACGAAAAAGTATGTAAAAGTGAAGAGACAGAAGCACAACAAAGGATTTGTTTTCCCCTAATTTTACAACTCATAAATTGTTATTTTATTGCTCATCTTTAATAGGATGTGCTGAATTAAACCAAACATAACAGATGGGTGAGTTTATTTTCAAAATAATTTTTGAGCTCCATTATAGTAAAAAAGTAATTATGGACAGTCTGTATTTTTCAAGATGTGTGCTCTACCCATGACAAATTTCTAGTGTGGTCACTTTTAGTCTGCCTTTTTTCTAAGTGTTCCTTCTTCCTTCTCTCCCATTTGCTATTGACCCCACTCCATTATGAAAAATGTCCATTTATTCCTACTCGTCAGTTAGTTGCTTATCTGTAAAAGGGCCTGCTTTTTGTATTCCATAGTTATTAAGTTTCTTGAGACATTTTTTAAGGGGAACTTCATTAAAGGCTTTTTGAAAATCTATGAGGTCACTTTTATCTACATAGTTATTAATATCCTAAAAAACCTGTAATGGATTAGTTAGACAAAACTTTCCCTTAGTGAGGGAGTTTAAATGTAGGTGTACTAATACATTTCGACGTTGTTTGTATACAAAACAGAATAGTTGGTATATACAGTATATAGACAGATCAATTTTATAAATGAGAAAGACAGTAAGCTTTAATTAACTGCTAGTAAACTTATTCCTGCCTCTGTCCTTTTTTGGAGTGTGGTTTCATATATGCATACAATCACATGTTTACATTTATTTGAGGAGGTGGACCTGGGTTTTTGCTTACGATCATAGGCAATAGAAAAACAAAAGCCAGGCAATTCCAAGTTTAGTCTTTATTGCTAGGTCATAAACTTCTTAATAGTAGTTAGGAGTTGGTTGAACAATTAGCCAGTGAGTGCTTCAAATTTGTCTTGTTAGTGGAGCTGTATGGAGGAGAAAGGCAGAAATAGAGTAACTGTCTAATCTAATCCAAGTGTAAGTCAAAGAGCAAAAGCAACAGGAATGCAGGTCAAAGATACATATAAGATATAGATTTCTTTATGTAACTGAAAACATGCATTAAGAAGTTAAATCTCTTTGGGCCACAATTAAAAGAAAGTTACTTTGTATTCAAGAATATCTATCTAAAACATTGGCTTTGCTTGCTCAGTATTGCCACCTACTCTGACCAAAAGCAACTTTTCCAATTATTTAATTCAATGTAACAATTCCATTCCTCCTTGGTGCTCTCTAGTTTTATCAGATTTCAGCTCTCGTCTTCCTTATCCAATAATTATGCCAGCCACAGATGGTGAAACCTGTGGAAGATGGAAATTGGAAGAAGATTTTTTTCCAAGGTGGTTGAGAAATTCATCCTTTTATTCATGAGCTAGAAATGGGACATAGGATAGGATAGGATAGGATAGCATAGCATAGCATAGCATAGCATAGCATAGCATAGCATAGCATAGAATAGGCCTTGGATGTCTTCTAGTCCAGCCCTCTGCTTAAGCAGGAGAATTTCAGACAAGTGACTGTCTAGTCTCTTTTTAAAAACCTCCAGTGGTGGAGCACCCATGATTTCTGAAGGCAAGCTGTTCCACTGGTTAATTGTCCTCACTCTTAGGAAGTTCCTCCTTAAATTCTAGGTTGCTTCTTTCTTTGATCAGTTTCCAACCATTGTTTCTTGTCCTGCCCTCAGGTGCTTTGGAGAATAATTTGACCCCCTCTTTTTGGTGGCATCCCCTCAAATACTGGAATACTGCTATCATGTTACCCCTATTTCTTCTTTTCTTTAGACTAGCCAAACCCAAGTCCTGCAGCCATTCTTCATATGTTTCAGTCTCCAGGTCTTTGATCATTTTAGTTGCTCTTCTCTGAACTTTTTCCAAAGTCTCAACATCTTTTTTGTGGTATGGTGATCAAAACTGATATGTTTTTATTTAAATATTTTTATTCTTTTTTTGGCAAATAAATTTATTTTGAATCAGTATGTCACTTTCTGTAAGTGACTTTCAAATTTTTGAGCCTTATAGGATATAAAAATCCTAAATTTAGTGAAAGAGCTCATTTGGTTTTCTTTGGTTTCGTTTGGGAAAGTTGACAAACTATTGGAAATAAAATTGAATAAGTCATATTAGCAAAATGTCCACATCCTGCAGCTTTAGAACTGAATACAAATTATATCAGTGCTATTAAAAAATGATCAGTCTTGAAATTATTGATGGATAGAGGTAAAACCACACAGCATTTCCAATCAATGTGTTAGTATCATGGTATATTACCAAGCAGATAAGCAGCAGGCTCACAGTTGTAGATTTACAAAGACAGGAATAAATGTCAATAAGTATATTCTGTTTGTCCATTTACAGTAGCTATAAACTAGCGAGCCAACTAAAAATATTTATTGTGCCTTGAAAATGTCTATGGCAATATGCTTCAAGGTGTACTGTTATATCTTCTATATTTTCTCACTTGAATAGTAACTAAAGGAGATTGATTTTTGTCTTTTTTAACTTTGTTTTTTAGTGTAGTGAGAAATTTCTTATAGTCATGATCAGCCCAAGACCAAATGAAAAATACCACCCAAATCTGTGCCACTGATGCTGGCCAAAAAAGCTATTGTTTCAGAGCATATCACAATTCAAACACAATAACGCTTGAGAGGAGCTACTTGTTGGTATTATTTTAAATCTATTTGTTCTATTATGAAAGTAAAACATTTTGCCAAGACTGGCGGTAGATGATCAATATTGCTGAAACAAACATGGTTTTTGCTTAATGAGTTCTCATACCAAGGATAGAAATGTTGGAGACCATCTGATAATTAGGCTTTGAATGATTGCTTCTGTGACTTTTGTGATCAGCAAAAAAAATTTCCTATAACTGAAAAGAGATGGCTCCACATTTATTTTATATCTAGAACCTGCAGTTGAGAACAGTGGGTATTATTCAGGAAGTGGGGGAGATAATATCTGATTTCCCCTAGTCGTGAAGCATGTGTCAGCTTTGTGAAAACTTAGACAAATACTGAAAACATCTGAAAACTAACTGAGGTGTGATTGACTGAACTACCCAACTTTTTATTATTATAAAATAACCTGTAAAATATATCTTTTTATTACCACTGTCATTGTATGCATATGTGGGCATATGCAATATACATTTATGATCCCATAGCTTCTAGAGTCTCCTGATCTGCTAGCTAATTTGAAGATACTAACCAGAGATAGACTGGGAAATACTTGTTTGGGAAAGCACCAGGATATCCCAGGATTTAGAGTAGGTTGTATATGAATTAAAAATCAGAGGAAAAAAAAGAGGAAATCACTTGCACATTTTTGTCAAGAAAACAACATGAATGTATTGTGGGATGTCAAGGGAGACTTCATCCCTATGCTGCTTGGAGGAAAACTGAATTATAACAACTTATTGCTATTTATAAGAAATAAACGCAATAAAAGAAAAAATGTATTTATTCTTAAATAATGATGGATACAATCGCTTTATTTAGAAGAAACATTTTTCACTTTTATAGGACACTGGAATGTCTCTTGTATACTGAGGTCAGTCAATGGTAGTTTTTGTAAGATTATGCATTAAAAATTTCTTCAGGGTCCCTTTCTAATAAATTAACCAATTAAATCAGCTAAATGTTTTAGCCCTGATGGATACAGTATAAAATATTTTTGAAAGGGAAATGTGTTACTTTTATTTTAGAATATACAGCAAATAATATTCATGAATACAATATTTCACTTAGCAAGAGTGGCTTTGATATTTGCCAGGGTCCCCATAGTTATGGTAAGCCAGAGACATGGTCTTTCATGCAACAGCATTCTTGAAAACAAGATCAAAATACTTCTTGCCAGAATAAATTGTATTTGGTTATTCAGTGATGTCATTTAGATTTCCAAATTATTTCAATCATAATACAAAATATATTGCATTATTTGCTAGCAGAATTTATTTAACATATTATCATACCAATCCTTTTTGCAGATCACTTTCATAGTTGCTTCTGTTTCCTTCCTTTCCTTGTCATAGAATTCAAATAATTGCTGTGGCTTAGCAATTTTAAATGGCCTGACAGTTTTATGCCAACTGGCTCAGCATATTATCTAATCTACTTTTAGACTGAAACTGACAGTACCAACAGTAGATTTTTAAAAAACCCTATTTGTTCAGAGCTTACTGTTGTACTATGGCTGCTATTGCAAATCTAATTCATTCATATCCTGTCCTCTTGGTTTTATTTTTTCTGTAGTTACCCTGGATTTGACTTTATTCATGCTACAGGTAGCACCAAAGAAGGGGAAGCATTAATGTGGAAAGTATTTATGCAATAGAATCCATTCGCATGATAAAACATCTCCATGTTATCAGATACTGTGGAATCACTATTGTGATAGGAATCATTTCTGTAGAAAGAACAAACTACTGAGCACTATAGATATGTTGAATTTTTTGAGCTCTTTACCTACCAACTTTAGTTTTGTGTGCCAAAGCTGGAAAATCATCTTGCTCCTTCCATTAATGCATTTAGCTGTGTTCTACTTGGGAAATTGGGGCAAAGTTTTGCAAAATAATTCTGAAACCTCTTGCCTTAATCTATGAATTTATAAAAGGTATCAACTACATCTTGGAATGATACAGTAATGAATTATCTCCCATAAACTGTTCAGATCAGCAGCGTAAGACATCGTGATTCATTTGAAGAGAGAGATGATGGTCTGGAGCAGAGATAATTACAGAGATGGATAATAAGATCGAAGGGTGTGGCAGGATAAATGTGCCATTTTGACAGTTCAGAAAGAGAGAGCAGTAATTCATGGAACAGTGAAAAGGGTTGATTTTCCCCCCCCCCCGGCCCTCTAATAGTTTCCATGAATAATAAATACGTATTTGGATAGGACTATGATATATCATCACAAAGCCCAATGGCATTTCAACAGCCTATGGAATATTAAACCATACTAATAAGTTGCTTTGAATAAGTTGCTGCCTTTTAACTCAAACCCACCATTGGTGATATGTGGATAAAAGTGCTACATTTTTAATGTCTATTAAATAACAAATCTTGCCACGAAGTACACTTTTAAAAATAAGTTCTCATTTATTATGAAGAAACATTAATGTTTTCAGAATCTTGTTCAAAGTAGAGGAAAATGTATTGAGGTATAAAGTGGCAAAGCAGTACATGTTCGTACAGTATGTGCTGGAGGAAGGTGGGTTTCTATCTTTAATTCTGCAATCGTCATTCTAGCAATTTATAGCTGCTCTGGTGGCCTCCAACAGTTAAATCCCAAGGAAATGTACCACTAAGCTTCTTTTTTCCAGATTGAACATTCCAATTTTCTTCAAAATTCCTTAAAGGCACAATATTGGGTCCCTGAGTCATCCTTGTCGCCCTTCACTGAACGTGTTGCAGTCAATATGCTTTTGGAAATGTGGTGCCAGAATTGCACACAATAGTTCAGGAATGATCTCACTAACTGCAGAGTAGGGTGTGTAAGGACTACATATGTTCTTGATATAATTCTTCTTCTAAATCTAAAGCAGTTTAAAACTGCATTTGGCTTTCTAGCAATTGTCTGTTTCTGCTGGCTTAAATTCAGCTTGTTGACACTGACTGTACCTTCTCTGATGTAGTGCTTCCAAGCCACAAATCATACATATTTTCTGTGTGACCTACATTTTTCTCCCTGATATAATATTTTACATTTATTTCCATGCAGAAAACCATCTGGTTCCTCTCAGTCCAATCTTTCACTCTGCCCTGATTAGATTGCAATCTCATTTTACAATCCGGGATTTTGGCTAGATTTCCCAATATTGTGTCACTCACAAATTTGACAAGCAGATTATCAACCCCATTTTGCAGGTCACTAATAAAAATGCTGAATAATGCTGGCCTCAAAACAGATCTCTATGAGACCTCACT